CGGCCACTGTCTGTGGAAGTATGGGTCTGTGTGTACTGTCTGGGAGACCGCCTGTGTGCGTTTCTTGAGTGTGTATCTGACCTGTGTCTGGCTGTGTGAGTCTGTGTGTTGTCTGGGAATATGTGTGCAGATCCATCCTATTGGTGTAAGGGAGCAGCTACTTAGTACATCTTTAAGTGTGCCTGTCACTGCATGAACAAGTGTCTGTGTGTGTCTAACTATGTGTCCATGGGTGTGTGAGGGTCTGAGTGTGGGAGCCTGGGACAGTATGCTCCTGTGAGACTCATAGTCCAAATGAGTGTGAGATGTTCATGGTCACTGAGTGTGCATTTGAGGGTGCTTACCCATGAATGCTGCTAAGCTTGAGTGATGGGACAGTTCTGCTCACACTGGGCACATCCACACACACCCCAGGCCCTACCCACTCCCAAGCTGGTCACTCACCTGACTCCGTCCTGAAGGTTTCAGGGGGCCCCGAGGCCCCACAGGGGGCTGGGGGCAAATGCTGCTCAGGCCTCCTGGGTCCGCCCTGCCCAAAGGAGGAAGCAAAAGGTGAGAAGTTTGGAGGGGGAGTTCAATCCCCTACTCACCCCTCACTCCCCACCTTGCACTTGAGCCAACCCCCTCCATTTCTGACTCCCCGATGAGAGCCCTGGTTGTCATAGAGGCTGTAACCAGGGAGACCAGCCACCTTGTTCTAAGGGCCCAGGATGGAGTAGGTGTGTTTGCGGGGTGGGCACTGCTGGAGATGCGCTGGCCTCAGGAGGCCCTCAGTAACCAAGGGGATGGTGTGAGGAGAGGAGCTCTGCCCTCTGCACCTGCCCAGGAGTACACACACTCATACCGTCCCACATGGAAGCCAGTGCATGTCTACAGTTGTCTTCAGCAGTGGGTATAGCTATGCATACTTAGTTACACACAGACACGTAACAGCTACAGACTTCAGGTCACACAGACATGGTCAGGGCCACAGACAGCTGCCACTATAAACATCTGGTCACATGTCCATGTTCACGGACACACACAGCCATACCACAGACTTCTGTCCACATATCTACTGAGTGCCCCAGCCTGCCTAGGCCCCACCACAGACACCTGGTCAGCCAGTGACGGATACCCGGTTACTCCTATTTTCTCAGCAACATACGAGGTGCTGGGCTCAGGCACACCACAAGGGCTACGCACACACAACCACACCCAGGGACAGTTGTGTCTCCCGAGGTGCCCACCCACGGAACCCACATTACAGCCCCTCTCCCCCAAAAGGAATCACACCCAGTCTGAGTTCACCCGTTTGGCCACCTGTAAGCACCCGCTCACACATGGACAGTCACAGTCACCGCTACATACGCTTGTCACGCCCGCCTCCTGCGCTGGAGGAGACGTCTGGATGCGCACAAACGGACTGACGCATGTTCGGTCACAGAGCTCACACAGCCACACACAGCCACTGCTGCACACCGACGGTCAGCCTCGGCTGCATCCTCTCACCAACGCGCCTGTGTGGTTACACACGGCCCGCACACCCGGTGTTAGTGTTCACATTTGGTCAGCAGATCTGTTACACAGTGTTCTGGGATGGCCATACTTGTGTGACGCTGCACACAACTGCACACGGAGATCCTGACAGCGCTGGCCCAGGCATGACAGGCAAACACGTGCGAGGCACAGCATGCCAGCACCCAGAGACAAGCAGCCCCGAGCTCGGCCACCCTCAGACACAGCCACACACATTCCAGAGATGGTCGTGTATGCACAGGCACACAGCGTCTGCGTCCACGTTAGCCAGCCATCTGTCACAAGCAGTGTCCCATACAGAGCTGTACTGTGTCACACCACCACAAAAGCAGTCTCTCTTCCTGCAGACACACAAGTCATATCCACAAGTATGTGTGGCCCCAGGTAGATGAAATCACAGCCCCACCTATACATATAAATCTCACACGCAGAGACGTAATGCAGTTCCCATTTCCTACACTACAAGTGAGAGGAGTATACACAGAGACGCGGTGACCTGGGCATACATTTATAGCTGCTTTACACAGAAGACGTGGTCCCCAAGACAGCCATGTGCACTGTCAGGGTCCAGCCAGCCCATCATCAGTTTACATGGATCCTAACACAGGTGGTGTACACACACACACACACACACACACAAATACACAAGCATACACAGTCACTTAGGGTCACAGATCTGTGGGTTACACATGCACAGGAAAATCATCACAGATTTGCGTATGCACGTGTGCACGCACACACACACACACACACACACACACACACACAGAGGTACCTAGACATATCCATAGCTTGATTCATGCACAATAATCCTTCAAAATAGGGAAGGATGCAGATACCAAGGCAAATGCATAACCCCCCCCAACACAAATGCGTAACCCAAGCCACACACACAAGGCTGTAGGTAACAGTCACTCAGATTCACACAGCTACACATCATTTATACAACCCCAGTCATACACATGTAGCTGGGAATACACAACCACTGCCACACACAGTGCCATCACACAATCCCAGTCACACAGGCACAGTGTGACTTCAGAGACAGGCAGTCACACACCCAGAGTTGCACAGTACTGTGTCACACACATATATAGAATCAACTTAGACACAGCCATGGCATTCTTGGTCACAGGGAGCATCACACATGGACGTGGAGCCATGGACACAGCTCCACTTACACACCGTCACAACTCCACCCACCCCTTCAGTCAGTCACACACATGCCTGTCCCTAGACTCAGCACATACACTGTCACATACCAAGGCACACAAAAGACACAACCCCAGACAAAGTCACACAATCACAACTACGCACCCGCCCAAATATGGACACACTAAAAAGTGGAGGGTCTGCACAGGAGGAAGTTGTCACTCACACATACACGGTCACACAGACACTGGGATCACCAGACACACCATACACAGCCACAGCACACAAACATACAGCACAGGATCCCTCATAGTGCCCAGCTGCAGCGCGCGTACGCACACAGCCAGTCACACAAACATGGGGTCACACTCCTAGCCACCTCCCTGTCTCTGGCTTCCACTCTTCCCTCTAGGTACCACACACAAAGCCGCCTGTCACTACCGCAGATGCTGCAGGCAGACAGGGTTGCACCGGGTCCCTGGGGAGCTGCCCCCAGCCCAGCCTGAATCCTGGAGCCTGGGGGGCCAGGTCGAGTAGGGAAGGCTGTGTATTGTCTACGGGTAGGTCCTCTCTTGGACAGCTGGGCAGCCCTAGGGACAAAGGAGGTGGCCCGGAGGACCTGTGCCCTGAGACCCTTGACCAAGAGGGGAGGAGGGCTCCTAAAATTCTCTTCATTTTATTCAATGGCATGGGGCGGGGTCCCAGGCACAGACCTTGTTTGGAGAAGGGGATGTGCCTGGGACACCGCCCAGGGACTGGAAGAAGGCTGTGTCCATGACGCCTCTGAGGCCTAGGGGCGGGCAGTGCTTGGAGTCCCTCCAGGCCTAGGCTTCGTGGGGAAGCTGAGCTGTACAGAGGGACCCCATCCTCGAGACCCTGCCTAGGGGCTTGTGCTCAGAGACTTCCCCCACCCCTGGTATGGAGAGAGATGGATTGCGTCTCAACCGCCTCCTGAAGGCCTTGGCTTCATATGGGGGCCGTGTCCCGCATCCGGTTCCCAAAATCTTGCCTGGGAGTTGTATCTAGAATCTCTATACCCCTGTCCTTGATGGGGGGAGGGGGTGTCTTGTGCCCACGATCCCTGTTTCCAGAAGCTTGGAGAGAGATGGCCTATGCCTGAGACCCCGTCTCCCCGGCTTTGCCTCATTGGGGACCTGTTCTTGGACCCCCACCCGGGACCACCCTCTCCAGCACTGGCAGCCTCCCACCATCCGGGAGCCGCCGCCGCCTCCCACCCTCCGCCACATCAGCAGCGGCGCCGCCCCCCGACCCGAACCCCCTCTCCCGCCCTTCTCACGCTGGCCGCCGCGCTGCGGGACATCCAGGGCCCGGGCGCCCCCGCCTCCCGCGGCCCCGGCTGGGCCCGGCTTCCTGGGTGCTGCTGCTCTTGTGGCGGCGGCGGCGGCAGCTCGGTCTGACGCGGGCCGGGCCGAGGCCGGGGGATGGTGCGGGATGCACGCGCCGGAGCCAGCTCCGCTCGCGGGAGGATTCCGTTCCGGGGGCGGGGGAGCGTCCCTCCCGCCTCGGCCCCGCCCATTGGCCCGCCGCCTGCTGCATATGCAAAGAGAACCCGCCCTCTCCACCCGCAGACCACGCCCACACATAAATAAAACTCCGCCTTCTCCGGCGCGGCCACCGCCCCGCCACGCCCACTGGCTGGGCCTGGGCTGAGCGTGCAGTACGCTTCGCTGATTCCCTCCCCTCGGTCCGCTGTGGCGCGGGCTCCCTTGCCTTCTGTGACCCTTGACCTCAGATCCCCTTCAGTTTCGAAAGAATTGCATTAAGAGGTGCCTTGTAGTCGTCCCTCGTCCCCAAATCTCCCTGCTAACCCCACGGTCCTCCCAGCCCCGCGCGGGCGGGCAGAAGCCGTGACGAGGCACTTTTTGCAAGGAACGGGAGGGGGAATGAACAGACCCCAGCGTCCAGGAGCTCGATCTGTTTAGCTTTCGGGGCAGGGGCGCCGGGCTGGAACCGATCCCGTTTCTGGCCGCTGCCCCCCTCCTACCCTCACCCTACTCCCGTGGGTTTTGGCAGAGCAGCTGGCAGGGGCATCAGGGTCCATTAGCAAAGGCGAGGTGGCTGGGAGCGTGGTGAAGGCGCCTGAAGCCAGGAGGCCGAGTGTGCGTGGTGGGGGGCGCTTCTCAGCTGCCACAGCCCTTAGAGCAGGTGGTCAGCACGTGGGGCTGGGGGAGGAGGAGGATCCTGGCAACAGATGGCCCAGGCAGGGCTGGGGCTTTCAGGCTAGGGGACTGGGCGGGGGTGTGGGGGACGACCATCTGCACCTGGCCGCCGGAGAGCTCTTCCCCCTCAGCGCAGAGAAGCGAGCTGGGGGAAGGGGAGGGTCGCTTTTATTCGGAGGGAAGGTTCAATCCCCGCTCCCACCCCTCCAATACACGAGTCTGGACCGGAGAGAAGGCAGCTGGTGGAAGAGTAAAGCAAGCAAAGGTGAGGCTGCCTCCTCCAACCGTCTCTTCCCCTTTACCACCCGATCCTGGGAGACCGGAGGCGGAGGTGAGTCAAAGGCTCCCGCGGGGGTTGTCAGAAATCAGTGGACCAGTTCCCTGGCTTAGAGTTCCTGGATGCCCAGTTGGAGTGGGAGGAGCTGTGAACTGGGGGAAACCCTAGCCCCAGGTTTCCTGAGATCCTGGGCCAAGGAGGGGAGCTAGGCAAGACCAGGAGGCCTCCTGGGGGCTCCCGAGGCCAGGACTGGGAAGGACAGGAGGTGCCACGGCAGGGGATGGGCTGCCATGGAGCTGGAGTCCCTAGATGGAGGCCGCCCTGGGGTCTGCAGGGAGGTTCCCTGGTCAGGAGGCTGCTGGCAACGGCTGTGTCTGGCGTCTGGCCCAGTATCGGTGGTAGGTGTCCTGGAAGAGGTCCCGGCAGGCAATGTGGGCGTGGAGTCGGGCACAGGCCAGGAAGGCCCCTGCCAGCTTGCGGTGCAGGGCGTAGGTCTCCTGAGGTGGAGGGCGCAGCCGGTGCCGCAGCAGCACTGGGATGAGGCCCTGGATGCGGCGGGCAGTGTCCCCAGCCCCGAAGTCGTAGGGGCCAGGGGCAGCAAAGGGCTCCCCCAGGATCATCACTGCCTCCACATGGGCATCGGAGAATGCCTGGGGGTGGGGAGAGCAGATGCACCCCGATGGACGATGGACATAGTGCCTTCCACTTGTCCCACAAGAGACAAGCAGTCCTCAGCTTCCCGTAGTCCTAAGTATAAACACAAGCTCCGGACTCCCCAGGAGTATAAGCAGCCTCCACCCATTCCAGAGCTCCTGGCAGACAGAAGCTCCCTTTTAGCCTCACCCCCATCAGCTCTAGCTTCCTCCCAGAGCCTCCTAGACAAGCAGCCTCCCCTCCCTAATGGGATCCTTAGCACCCACTAGCAGCACCCCCTCTCGAAGAGACAAATGGTGTCTGTTCTCCCAGGTTTCCAGAGTAGTCAGGCAGTCATATCCCCACTCCTCCCCAGGCCCCAGTACAGGTAAGCATCCCCCGTAGCTGCCCACTCTCCCCAGGAGAGATGAGCCCCCTCCCGTCCCCCTCCAGTCCCTGGGTAGAGACTGGCGCTCCCTAGTCCTCTACTGTCCCAGTGTTCACCCAACCTTGGTTTCAAAGCCTGTGAGGAATTTGAGGTCCCGGGATTTCTGCAGGACACAGTCTCTGTCTCCATCAGCTGCAGCCTTCACCACCTAGAGATGGGTGTGGGGCAGGGGGCAATGGCCAATCAGGGATCAAGCAGGGGTTAGAGGAAAGGAACCTCCTGGACCAACCCACATCCACCTCTGTTGCCCTGTAGCTGGGTACTTCCTCTTGCCTAGGAGCTTTCCCCTTCACCTCTGTGTGTGTCTCCCTCAAGACGGTCCTAAAGCTTGGGGTAGAGGTGGTCAGGGGCTCTGCCCACCTGGTTGGGAATGCAGAGCTGCGTGGAAGGAGGCCACCACCATGATCCACACAGAGGAAAATAAGCGTCAAGGCTGCTGAAGGGTCCAAGCCCAGCTGGACGAGGGTGTGACCATGCCCTAGAACCGTGCGCCCTTGGCAAACCTTACTTTAGCAAATTAATGTGCGGAGCTGAGCGCTCCAACCGCACGCTCCCTGCGAGCTAGCCTGGGCTTATCCCCAGCTCTGCTTCTGGCAGGCGGTGGAAAGGCACGGCCTGGACCAGGCAGGCTGCTTTGCCCCTGAGCCTCTGCTTTCTCATTTGTGAACCTGGGGTTGGTGAAAGTTTCTCCCCCGCGTGGTTGCTTTGAGGATACGGGAGGTGGCACCTGCAGAGCGCTCAGCTCACGCCCGCAGATAAGAAGCGCCACTGATCCCGCTATTCTGAGCTACTCATCTGACTAGGAGCTGTGTGTGCGGGTTTCCACTGCGCTGAGTGCGGGCTGGAACTTGGGTCCAGCCCTTACCTGCGTGTGGCCCTTTCTTTGGGGGAGGGAGCACGCAGGATTAATCAGGCAGTTCTGTTCTGTCTCAGCTCCCCTGTCTATGCGTGTCTGGCCATCTGTCAGGCCTTGGTCCTTAGGGGCTCATGTGACAGGGCTTTTTCAAACTGGAAAAGGCTGAGCAGGATGTTCCAGCTACCCACAGAGGTCTCAGCTTTGCGTCCCAGGGGGCTGTGGGAGAGCCCGAAGGAGCCTGTGTGTGAGGATGGAGGGTTCCAGCTCTTTCCTGTCCCCATCTCAGGAGTGGCCCCATGAGTTCATAGGGCAGAGCCCTGGGCCTTGTTCGGGATGCCTCCCTCTCCCACTTCCCAGCCTGTCAGCTCCCATGAGCTGTCCCGCAGGTGTCCCTGCCGGCTGGCTGCTCTGTCCCGGGCACAGCCTCCCTGGGCTTGCCTCCCCTAGTCTTAGAGACCACTTGCTATTCAGAAGGGGTTTTCTAATTCTCACTGTGTCCCTCCCCTGCTCGGATCCTTTCCACAGTTCCTCAGGGGATGGGGATAAAACACCAGCTGCAAAGCCAGCCGCTGAGCTTCAGGGTGATTTGGCTCCACCCGCACCCTCTGCCTGCCCAGTCCAAACGCGGATTTCCTTTTGGTTCCATAGGGCCCTGCGACAGCAGGTGCTGACATCCTCTGGAGCCTGTGGGAGCTGCAGCGTCACACGCCTCACTCCAGGCAAGAACCTGCACTTAACAGCACTGCCCAGCTTCCCACGCACATTAAAGTTTAAAAGCCCTGCGCTAATGGGACCATCCCTTGTTGCCACTTGACCTTTGCACATGTTTATCTGCAATAACCCTCTAGCCTCTTCCTGATTGGTGGTCCTCATCCCTCAGGTCTCAACCCATGTCTCCTCCTCCAGGAAGTCTGTCCTGACTGCCCAGGTGAGGTCGCTCTCTGGACTCTCACAGCCCCTGCCCTTCCCCCATTCTGGCCGTGACCCCTCCAGGTCCTCACTGTCTGTCCTGACACTGGACTGTGCACTCTATGAAGTTAGGGACTTGGGTTGAGCCCAGGTCACTATTTATTCCCAGCATCATCCAAAACAGGGCTGGGCACAGAGACGGTGTCACTGAGTGTCTGAACTATGGCTGTATGATTAGAAGACCCAGGCCGCGCTGGACGTGGGGGCACACACCAGTAATCCCACCATTCTTAGAGCCTGAGGTGGGGAGATTGCAAGTTTAAATCGAGCCTGGGCAAATTAGTGAGACCCTATCTCAAAAATAAAAAAGCCTGGGGATGTAGCTCAGTGTGAAGGCCCTGAGTTCAATCTCCAATACCACAAAACAAACAGCACCAACAAATAAAGACTCAGGCTGAGTGGCAGCCTGAACAAATCAATGAGCCGGTGTTCTCTGTGGTCTCTGAGACAAACTGACTCCAATGAGTGAGAGACAGGCAAAGTTGGAAATACTTCCTGCGGCCAGGGCTTCCCATGGGGTGCAGGCTGCACACCAAGGCCCCAGACACGGTGGCTCTCATGGACTCTGGAGCCGGACTACTGCAGTGTGACTCCCAGGTCTGCTAGGATCTTGGCCAACCTCTCTAAGCCTCAGTTATTTTGTGTGTAATTGCTACTACACTACTATTTTGTGTGTATTTACTACAGGGGCTAGAAGCCAAGTGTGGTGGCACATGCCTGTAATCCCAGCACTTGGGAGGCTGAGGCAGGAGAATCACTGTGAGCTTAGGCCAGCCTGTGCTACATGGTGAGTTCAAAGCTAGCCTGGACTATATATCTCAGAAAAAGAGGGGGGCTAAAAGTGGTCCTGATCCCACAAAGGTGCTATATGGTTTCCATCAGTTATTACACCTAACTCCCTTAAAACAGTGCCTGACACTGTTAAGTGCTTGGTATTTATAAGCTGCTGTTAATATTAAGATTATTTATTATCTCTTAATTCCAGATGCAGTATATTTGCTTCTTACCTCTTTGCCTCATATCTAGCTTGAGCCTCACCATTCAGAGGTCCCAGGGTCAGGGGGACTCACCTCAATGTAGTGGTCTGTGAACTCTGTCCCGAATTCTTGGCTTGCACCGAAGTCCAGCAGGGTCACCTGAGAAGGAAGACCAGTGAGCGACCCTAGGAGACCCCGACACCCTACTGTCTCCTGAGGTGAGGTGACCAAGCCCCAGCTCTCCTCCTCACAGCCCTCCCGGGTCCTGCCAAGGCCTCGCCAGCTGCCTTCCGGGGTTCTCAGTCTCCATCTCCATGCCTTCCCAGCCTCTTTTTTTTTTTTTTTTCTGGTACCGGGAATCGAACTCATGACCCTGTGCTTGCCAGGCAGGTGCTGTGCCGCTGAACTAAATCCCCAGCCCTCCCAGCCCCTTTTCGTTTTTCTTTTTGAGCCAGTGCCTTGGTAAGTCACTGCACTGCCCAGGGCGGCCTCAAACTTTTGACCCTCCTGCCTCACTCTTTCCAATGATTAGAATTACAAGTGTGCACCACTGATTCCTGTTTGCTTTTGTAACAAATTTTAGCCCCCTGCCAAAAAAAAAAAAGAAATCCAGTGAACAAACCAGGCGCAGTGACGCAAACCTGTAATCCCAGCAGTCTGAGAAGCTAAGGCAGGAGAAGGAGAAGTGCAAGTGAAGCCAGGGCAACTTAGTGAATCTCTGACTCAAAATAAAAAATACACGCTGGGGATTTAGCTCAGCGGCACAGCGCCTGCCTGGCAAGTGCAAGGTCATGAGTTTGATTCCCAGTACCGGGAAAAAAAAACCAATCAAAAAAAAAAAAAATACAACGAAAGGGCTGCGGACGTAGTTCAGTGCAAAGGCCCTGGGTACAATCTCTAGTACCAAAAATAAATAAATAAATAAAAGAATCTGGAGAACAATAAGATACATAAAAAGTGACGTACCCTCAAATCCTACTACTCTACTTAAAATATACAATATTACTAATCCAAATGGGGCCTCGCGCATACCTCATCCTGAGCCTCCCTACCCCCAGGGTCCTTTCCAAAGTTACCACTTTCCTGAAACTATGACTAAATTATGTCTGACAGTTCCTGTGCAAATGTATTTACATTTTCTGCATGTGTGTGCCCATAGATTACAATATAGTGACTGTTCATATACATTAAAACTTGATATAAAAGGTGTTTACTAGTTATCCTGCAACTTGTGCTTTTGGTCTAGCAAGGTCATATAGTTTATCTCATTGCTCTGTGTAGCTCTGGTTCATTCATTCATTGCTGCAGAAAAAGTTCACTGCATGAATATATCACAGTGCATTTGTCTGCTTGACACACACTGGTTGTTTCTGGGTTTTGTGCTCAATGAACACATGTATGAGTTTCTTTAGGGCAGTGGAATCTGAATGACCAACCCTGCCCCGCAGTGAGAATGAGTTTATTCTTGGCATCTGGGCAAATGCATGCAAACATATAAATGTCATATACAAATGACCCAGCTAGGTGTGGTGGGGCACACGTGTAATCCAACTACTTGGGAGGCTGAGGCAGGAGGATTGCTGAGAGTTTGAGGCCAGCCTGGGCTACAAAGTGAGCTCAAGACCAGCCTGAACTGCATAGTGAGACCTTGTCTCAAAAAGAGAGGAAAAAAAAAAAAATGACCCAAAATAAATATGGACCCCTCTCATTTGTGACACACTTAAGTATTTTCTGTTTTATTGCACCAAAGCAAAAAATGTTCTTGAAGTCCTATAAATGGATGTCAGAGACTTCTTACTTCCTGGAGTTTGAAAACCAACCACCTGGGGTATAAGATTAAGAGTGGACACAGGCAGATGTGCATGGGGGTGGGAGAAGGGGTGGAAGGGACTAGGCTAAAGACTCAGAGAGGCCATTGGATGCTTAGCAAAGGGCTGAGGCTTGGTTCTGAGGGTGCTGGGGAGCTGGGGAAGGGCAATCTTGGACAAGGTCTCACTATGGCATCCAGGCTGGCCTCGAACTCACGGCGATCCTCCTGCCTCAGCCTCCTGAGTGCTGAGATGACAGGTATATGCCACCATGCCCAGCTGCCAGGCTTGTATTTGAGAAAGATCCCTCTAGGACAGGATGGGGATGAACCACTTTGAGGAACAACTTGACAACCTCAAGTGAAGGCAAAGATCGGACCATACACAGGAGAAGTCAGAACTGTCACATCCAGGCCTTTCTACACCTGCGCCTCCTGCTTGGAGCACCAGCCCTGCTCTCCTGTGGTTGTTTATTTCCCCTTTCTGGTCTCAGAACTAATGACACACCCTTTAAGAAGGCCTCCCCGACCCCTAGCCAGCTAGGCCGGCTCAGGCTCATGCCCTGGCCTCAGCCCCACCCTCCCTGTCCCAGCCCTGACCACTGCGGCCTGTTTCCCCATTTTGGTAGGAACTTCTCTAGGTCATCACCGATGGAATGGACGGGACATGCCACTTCTGGTCAAAGCGGTTAGGCAGAGGGTCACCCTATAATCTCTCTCCTTACACTGGAAGCAGAGCGTGCCAAGGCCTAGGGGCAGACAAAGCACAAAAGGCAAAGAGTGGGGGGGGTCTCTGAGCCACTGTGAGGAGAAGTGTGGGCAATAAACTACAGTTCTGTTGCCCTGCCGAAATACTGGGCAGTATTCATTGAAGTGTCTGCACATCCTGACTCAGATCGGAAGTAACCAACCTGGTGGCTGGAGGCATCGTACAGGAAGTTGGCCCAGTTGGGGTCTGTCTGCATGAATCTGAACTCAAATAGCTCCCGCAGACACAGCCTCAGCAGCTGGAAGCAAATCTGCGGTGGGGAGAAGTGAGACTTTCAGTGATACACCCCTGCGGGGCCTCCCCTGGCCTGGACAGGGAGCATGGGCCCGGCCCCGACCCCCACTGTCCCATGAAGCAGCCTACCTGGTTCCGGCTGTCCTGGCTCAGGCCCTGGCACTGGTCCAGGGGGACCCCACCTGCCAGCTCCATGCCCAGCACACGGGTCGTGCACAGTTCTTTAATCACAGCTGGGACCCGGAAGAAGGGGTCATCTGCTAGCAGCTGCCTGGGCCACAAGGAAAGGGAGGGAATGGGACTCCATGCTTTGCTCCCCCTCCAGGTAGGTCTCTGAGAAGTCTTGCAGGTCATCTTCCTCTGTTCTCCCTTCCCTCATGCCCTTGTCTGGCCTGTCTGTCCTGGGTGATAGCTAGTAACTAGCTGGACTAACATTTAACAAGTATCCCTGCATGGCCTACTCTACACTTTAACAGGGCGTTGCCTGGGGCTTACCACTTCCCTACTGAAAAACATTCTCTGACTTCTGGCTGTCCCGGGATGAGTTCAATGTATTTAACTAATGTAGCACTTTTTAAAATGTTTATTCATTCATGCCCCTAAATAGTCACTGATATAAGAAACTTTAACAGTCCATACATACATAGGTCATTCCTTAGTCTCTGGAGTAGTGCCCCATAATTTGTAGTTTCATTTTCTTTCTTTCTTTCTTTTTTCCTCTCTCTCTCTTTCACTCCCCTGTCTCTGGGTACTGGAAATTGAACTCAGGACTTTGCGCTTGCCAGGCAGGCACTGTGTTGCTGAGCTGTATCCCTGGCTGCAGTTTCATTTTCTAAGGTTTCAGTTACTTGCAGTCAACTGTGGTCAAAAATATTACATGGTCTGCGCATGGGAGTGCACGCCTGTAATCCCAGCACCGTGGGAGGCTGAAGCAGAATCGAAAGTTTGAGCCCAGCTTGGGCAATTTAGTGAGACTCTGTTTCAAAAAAATACATTTATTAAAAAAAAAATTAACCACTGGGCATAGTGGTACATGCCTGTAATCCCAGCACTCGGGAGGCTGAGGCAGGAAGATCACTGTAAATTTGAGGCCAGCCTGGGCTACAAAGTGAATTCAAGGCCAGCCTGAACTGCATAGTGAAGCCTTGTCTCAAAAATAAAATTATTAAAAGATGACTAAGATATATCATGGACAAGTACAAACTCCCTATGATGAGTGTACTCATTATGTATATCTAAATTGTACTAATAAACTTAATTTAAAAAAATTTAGCTGGGCATTGTGGTGCATGCCTATAATCCCAGCACTTGGGAGGCTGAGGCAGGAGGATCGTTGGGAGTTCGAGACCAGCCTGGGCTACAAAGTGAGCTCAAGGCCAGCTTGAACTGCATAGCAAGACCCTACCTCAAA